AGCCCAGAAGAAATTGGTCATGGGAGAAAAGCTATATAATACAAACATTTAAACACAAACACATATCCTCACAGCCGTGTGCACAGGAATCGACGGCTGATCTTCCAGTCCTCTAGTCTACACTCCATGAAATTCAGGCCTATCCTCTGCAGCATCTATTAGCCAAAAGGGGGAGTTGAGGAGAGAACCTGGGAACCATTTCACTGGAGTTCACATAATGTCTATTTTTTTTCTGATTTTAATTGTGCGATTCAAATGCAAGCAAATTTATTATGCTTATGTAAATCATTTGACTGACACATTTAGGCATTTTAGCACCAAAGTCTCTTTGCTGAGTGATAGCATTTAAGCACTAGACCAAGCATGTCAAACTCAAAAGCTAACACGGGCCAAATAAGCAAGGTTTAAGTTTATGTGGGCCGCAAAATAACAAAAGCTTCAATCTTCATAGAAATGTAAGTTTATTTTAATAGAGACATGCTGAATACAAAGGGCTGAAATAAATGAGTAATCGTTAACATAAAAAATAGAACATTTTAATAAAATTAATATTTTTTCTTGAACATTAACTTACCAGACACTGAATAACCGCACAAATTAATAAGCGTAATGCAAATAAACCTATTTTTCTTGTTCTCTGAAAGCAAAATATTTCCTGTTGCACACACCAAAAAAGTCAGTCCAAGACTAATGATGTGAAATCAGCTGCTAAAATATTCACTGCTAGTATTAGTGGAGAGAAATGGTGCACCTGCAGGTAAGGCGAGTAAGGAAAATGATTTCAATACTATTATAGTAATCAGTCATTAGTGAACGTTGTAGTTTGTTATTAATAACTAGAGGCCCGGTGCATGAAATTCATGCATGGGTAGGGTCCCTAGGCCTGGCTGGTGATCAGGGCCGATCTGTGAGGCAACTAGCGGGGCGATTGGTGGTTCCTGCTCACACCCACCTTCTGTACTGCCTGCTCGCTGGCCTCACCCCCTGCTGCCACCGCTGGTCAGGGCCTGTGGGCTGGGGCAGCTCCTGCATTGAGTGTCTGCCCTCTGGTGGTCAGTGTGCATCAAAGCAACCAGTTGTTCTGCTGGTCGTACCACCGTTTGGTCGATTTGCAAATTAGGGTTTTATATAGATAGATTATGTATAACAGGATATTGTAAAAATTAAGTTATGAAATTTTTATTAAAATGTTTCTTACATACCATTATATTGGCTGGGCCACAAAAATATTCGTTGTGGGCTGCATGCGGCCCGTGGGCCGTGAGTTTGACATGTTTGCTCCAGACTACTTCTAATTGATAACACATCTTTTATTTTTAGATATCTAATATCTCAGTTCAGGTGATGAGTGCCCCTGGGAAGCTGCCAGGGAGACCAGGGAGACCAGGGAGACCAGGGAGACGGCCACCAAGAAAACCCATCAACAAAGCCCAACTCAAGAAGCAACCCAAGAAGAAAGCTCCCTTTTGGAATGTCCAGAATAAAATCATTCTCTTCACAGTGTTTTTATTCATCCTGGCAGTCATAGCCTGGACCCTTCTGTGGCTCTACATCAGTGAGTGAAAACCTACTTTCCTTTGGAGTTAGGGCTTACCCAGTGAAGTCAGCAGGAGAAATGCAGGCCCAATCTGCCCCTGGGTGTTTCTGATAGATTTTTCTTATTTCTTAGACTAATAACCATTTCTGAAACTGTTGAGGTTTTTGGAGGAAGAAACCAGAATTGCTTTCCCCTTTCTCCTTTTCCTACTACTGCTCTCTTCCCACAGGTGAACAAGAGGAGCAGAGATGGGGGATAGGATGAGAGCGGAGGAGGATGCTCAGGAGCAAATGTTGACTAGCTCAGAAATGTAATCCATTTAGTTCATTTTGAACTTTAAAAATGAATGGAATGCTAAACTGTTTTATTTCCTTATTCCACCCACTGCCTGTTTCTAGGCAACCTGATATTCCAGCTCTCTGAGCTTCATTGTACTCATGAGCCTTTCTCTCCTCTGTTTTTATGTTTTTGTCGATCTGATTGATTGGACAGGAGTCATAACTAAGTTCTTCCTTAGAGAATACTAACCCAATGCAGTGCAGCAATTGTATAGCCTTTGTTGACTTATATTCATCTTCCCACTCTATACATCTTAATATGTTTAATACAACATATGTGTTCTATCAAGGATATTAAAATGTGGTTGGAAAGTGAGCCTTATAGGCAAAGAATTAACAAATATTATCTTAAACAGTTCAGGTCACCTATAATTTGTGTGGCATAATGCAAGACATCAGGCATGCCACGATACATCTCCTACCTTCAAAAAGCTCACATAGAGATTTTGTACTTTCAAAAAACAGTTTAGTGCTGAAAGGGAGGGTGAGTTTATTTTTGTTTTGTTTTTTGTTTAATCAATCACTTTATAATCACAGAAGAGAGGCAGACAACTTGCCCAAGGATAGAATTCAGAGAAAGCTTCAAGAACTGGCTTCTGAAAATACATCTTGGAGTAGCCACAATGAGCTGGGCTCTGTGATAGGCTTAGGGACAGAGTGGTAGACAGGAAGAATGTCTGTCTTTATATACCAGTGAGAGAAGTCAAGTCAATGGGCAATTAAGTCAAACACAAAAGACACACAACCCCAACCCAGAACAAACCAACTTTTTCCCCATCAGTTCTCTTCTGGTCCTCAACTGAGCCTTCTCATTGCCCTAGCATTTTTGTATGAAGTTTTGGAAGATCATTGTGTAGAAGTAATTTGTTGGCTGTGTTAAAGTCAGAGAAGATCCTTTCAGGAAGACAGACCAGTAGGAGCAAAGGGAAAATGGTATGGATAGCGAGAACCGTTCAACAAATAACAGAGGTTAGTTTCAATACATGAAACTTGGGTGTGGCGAATGGCCTTGAAAAATGAAGTGTACAGCTCATCAAGAGACCAACCAGAGTCTTGTGTGTTGGGCTGTGCTAAAGAGTTTGGTCATTGTAATCATTTCAAGGCCTAATTGATCTCCCTTACATTGTTGTTACTCTTCCTCTTGAGTACTTACGGATGCCAGAGGATATGTGAACTTCTAGATAGAAGTCACAGCTCTCGTTCAAATTTTAAAAAGTCTGCAAGGGGGCAAAAAAAAGTCACAGAATCACTTACCTGGTAAAATCAGCAACAAAACAAACCTTTGTTTTATATGAGAGGCCTAGTGAGGCAAATTGATCATTCCCAAGTCACTTAACTTGAAAGAACAAATCTAAGACCGAAGCTCAGGCCTCCTGCCGCCTACTCTGTGCCCCCCTCCCCCGCCCACTGCCTCACTACACCATGTGGGACTAGTGGGACCCTGGGTTGGCTATACAACGGAGGCTGCTTCTTATCACTCAGCCAAGTTGTACCTTCTTTTTTAAAAATTAAATTTAATGGAGAAACACATGTTAATAACATTGTATAAGTTTCAGATGTACAATTCTTTATCACCTCCATATTCCACTAAGTGTTCCATCCAAGGTCGGGCCCCCTTCCATCACCATAGAATTGACCCTCTTTACTCTTTTCAACCTTCTTCCACACCCTTCTCCTCTGGTAACCACCATACTGTTCTCTGTCTATGAGTTTGCTTGTTTGGTCATTTGTTGCTTTTTTGTTTTATGTCACACATATGAGTAAAATCATATGGTTCTTGTTCTTTTTTTCACATAATTTATTTCAGTTCACATAATATTCATGCACCATCTTTTTAATAACTATCAGTTATTTAGCATTTCCTTGTGCTCTTCCTCTAGCCCCCTTCTTCTTTCCCTTCCTTCCCACAAATATTTATTGAGCTTCAAAGCTAAGTCAGGCACTGGCTAATCTCTATTAGGGCTTGAGGAACAAAGAGAAGGTCCTGTTCCTTTAGAACAGTGGTTCTCAACCTTCTGGCCCTTTAAATACAGTTCCTCATGTTATGACCTAACCATAAAATTATTTTCGTTGCTACTTCATAACTGTAATGTTGCTACTGTTATGAATCATAATGTAAATATCTGATATGCAGGATGGTCTTAGGTGACCCCTGTGAAAGGGTTGTTCAACAGCCAAAGGGGTCGCGACCCACAGGTTGAGAACCGCTGCTCTAGAGGACCAGCCATCCAGACTGAAGTTATGATACAGTGGGGCTGGTACCACAAGAAAGAGATTACCACTGCCAGGAGGGTCTGGGGGATGGTGCCACATCGCAGGAAGTCCTTGGTAAAAACAAAAAGAAAAGGCAGAAAGAAAGCCCTCATTTCCCCAGGCTCTTCTCAAACAACAGCAGTGTCTTTACCTGTTGTCTGAAGACAACTCAGGCACAGTTGTATCTTTGCCTGTTTCTGGGCAGGCCTGATGCCCAAAGCCATGGACCTCACAGGCAAAGCATTTGAGAAAAAGTGATCTGACACTGGGATGAGGACCACAGTAGCTTATCAGAAGGATGAGTTCTCCCTGCACCGCACAGAACTGAGGACAGGCCAGCACCCTGGGGATCAGCCAAAGTCAGGCAGAGGATGAGAGGCCAGGGGCTCAGTGAAGGACCACTGTGGGGCTGGGGGGTTGTCCCCTCTTCTCCCGCTACACTCACTTCTCCTCAGAGCTTGACTGTATACATTTCTTACCTCCTTACCTTCTACAGACTTGGGATCCATAAAAATTGTATATATTCTCTTTGGCCCCTTAGTAACTCTATGACACGTAGATTAAGAGGTATATCTTTTACCTTTTAATCTTGTTCTTAAGTACTTGTCAGAAGCCGATAGAGAGAATAGAGTATCCTAAGGGATATGGTGATTTACTGCTGATGGAAGAGATGTTATTAACTACATTTAGAACTCCCCAAGCTGCAGAACCAGTAGAATACATAGTTGCCTAAAATTAAATAATATCAGGAGCCTGATACTGGCATAGATCAGGCAATGCCTCATTACCACACATATGGGAAAGCCCCCTACCTGCCTTTCTCTTATCTTACAGGCAAGACAGAAAGCAAAGATGCTTTTTACTTTGTTGGAATGTTTCGTATCACCAACATTGAGTTTCTTCCTGAATACCGACAGAAGGAGTCCAGGGAATTTCTGTCAGTGACACGGACTGTACAACAAGTGGTGAGGTGATGGGGCAGGGGGAGGGGGTGAGAGGCTGGGCATGGTGGGGTCAGGGCGTGAAAGGTAGAGTGGAGGGTCACAGTGTGTGGGGTCGGCAGAGGAAATAGTCAGGAAACATGGGATTTAGCTCACGTCAGCTGAAAGATAGAATTGCTTATTTGATAGAATTGCTTCTTTCTTTCTTTCTGCTGAAAGTAAAAGAAATGGCTCTATGAGCTTCAGTTTCAGTTCTTCTCATCTGTGAAATAAAGGGATTGAACCAGGTGATCTTTAAAACGTCTTTTCATACTGACGTGACATGTGTGCTGATTGACTCTGTGATCAGCATACATTTCTTTCAACTTCCATGCACTGACATCTCTTCACTTAAAAAGAACGTTCTCATTAAAGAACTAATACATATTTATTATAACAATTTAGAAAAGTCCAAAAATGTAAAAGAGGTATAAAATAAGTATCTAAAAGTGTAAAGTATAAATTTAAAAAGTATAAATAAAATATGTAAAGTGTAAAACCCATAAAAGTATAAAAATACTTCAAAATCTTATTTAACATCACCAAAGATAGAGCCCTGTTTTATTCTGGACCACACAGACATAGGGGATAGCTCAATATTGAGGTGTTAATAGATATTCAGTCTTATAATCTCATCTTTAACTTTTACCATTAGATTGTATTTTTCTAGGCAGGTAAATGTTCTTTAAAAAATAAGTTTTAACCCTAGCCAGTTTTGCTCAGTAGATAGAGCATCTGCCTGCGGACTGAAGGGTCCTGAGTTCAATTCTGGTCAAGGGTACGTGCCCAGGCAGCCGATCAATGATTCTCTCATCATTGATGTTTCTATCTCTCTCTCTCTCCCCCCCTTCTTCTCTGAAATTAATAAAAAGATATATTTTTTAAAAGAACAAAAGAAAATAAGTTTTAATACTACAAAGTTAGAAAATTTCTTTTTATTGGGTATTTAAGTTGTTTCCAGCTTTTGCTACTATTGATAATGCTACAATAAATTATTTGCATTATTTGCATTACTTGTCTGTATCTCTAATTACTTCCTTGGGTGATTTTCTAAAATTATTACTGGTTAAATAGAAAAATATTGATTCATCAATCTTGGTACATAGTATTAACTAGAAAGTTTCTGCCAAATTGTGTCTGCATATTAATGGCAAGGGTGGCCTGCACAGTGGTGACTCCACTACACTTTGGTGTAGACTGAGGAAGAGCTGTGAGAGTGAGCAAGCAAAAACAAGAGTAGGCGCAGTGGCTCTTGTTTATTGAGGGCTTTCTATATACTGGGTATGTTGCTAAACACTTTATTTTTTAATATATATTCTTTTATTGATTTCAGAAAGGAAGGGAAAGAGAGAGAAAGATAGAAATATCAATGATGAGAGAGAATCATTGATTAGCTGTCTCCTGCATGCCCCACACTGGGGATAGAGCCTGAAACCTGGGCATGTGCCCTTGACCGGAAATTAACCGTGATCTCAGGTTCATAGGTCGATACTCAACCAATGAGCCACGCCGGCCTTTATTTTTAATATTTATCAATTATTCCTCAAATTATCCCAAAGAGGTAGGCATTTTGACAACCATTTTACAGACTGGAAGAAAGAAAAAAAGAAAGGAAAGAGCAAAGGAGAGGTGGGGGAGAAAAGCACAATGGAGGCTCAGCAGGTATAGGTAACGTGTTCTGTGTTGCATAGTGAATTTAAAATTCACAGCTCATATTTCCCCCTACTATACTCTATTATTTCTAAGGTGATTTCCCAGCCCACTCCCCCTCTGGGCAATTAGGTGGGTAAATTGTTGCTACTGTGTAGAAAGGGGAATTCAAGAGAAGATTTGACAAATGAGTCAGTTTGGTTTTAGAAATGCTAAGTAGGGAGAAAAAAAGATAAATTAATTGAAATGTCTCTCTTTTGAGATGCAATTAATGGAGTTTTAAAAGGGCTGGGTGTTTCCCTAGAGACTGATGAGTTGGGAAAGGGGTGGTTGTCCTGGTTGTGGGCACCACTCGCCCCCTAGTGGCTAATATAGCAATGTGTCCTTAAGAATTTAATTTTTCCATGCCATTTAATTAATAGAAAAGAGGTTGGGTCAAGCACTTTTTAAATGTGCTTAAAGGCGTTTGATTTATTAATTGGGGAGCAAATTAACTTTAGGCAGAACACAGAAGTTAAGCTTGATTAAGGTGAATAAAGACAGAAATAAATGAAGGTAACAAATTATTCTTCAGAGAAAGCAGAATGAAGGTTAAAAAACCCAAGACTGCTACAGGAAGTAAAAATTTATTTGAATTCAAGGAATAGCCCTGGCCTGTATGTTCAGTGGTTAGAGCATCAGCCTGCACACCAAAGGATCTTGGGTTTGATTCCCGGTCAAGGACATGTACCTGGATTGCAGATTTTATCCCTGGCCTGGCCGGAGCACATGCAGGAGGCAACCAATTGATGTGTCTCTCTCATACCCCTCTCTCTCTACCCTCCCTCCCTGCCTCCCTTCTACTCTCTCTAAAAAATAAGTAAATAAATAAATGGGAAAAAATCCTTTGGTGAGGATTAACTACCCTCTCCCCCCCAAAAAAAGGAATTCAAGGAATAATGCCTGGGTTTGGAGTTAGAGGCCTTCATTTGAGTCTTGTTTAGCTCCTTGGTAGCTAATCAGAGCTTGGTACTGTGAGAGGAAGCCAGAGTGAAAGACTTCAGACACCTCGGTTTTTCTTTTTCAGGTAAACCTGGTTTATACAACATCCGCCTTCTCCAAATTTTACAAGCAGTCTGTCATTGCAGATGTCAGGTATTGGGGGTCCCTTGCTTTGGGATTTCTGTGTTCACTGCTGTAAATTCCTCTCAAAGCCCTGAAAAGGCCAAGGTATCACCATTCTCTAGTAACTTCTTAGGGGCGGTTGTGGATTAATTCCCTTTTAACACAATAGTGACCCAATTCTTTGCTATGCTCTGAGTTTTTCTTTTTATCTACCAAAGCCTGCTCTCTCCCCATAGCTGGGATCCAGGACCCTGTACTAATGCCAGTGGGCAAAATGGCCATTAACATGGCTGCTATATTGGGTCGGGGCAAAAATAAAACACAGACCAGTATTTCTCAAAATATGTTCAGTAAGAACTGATCACTAGAGGTCTCTTGAGAAAAAAAAGTATTCCATGGTCAAATCATTTTTAGGAAAAATCACGTGTCCTGTACTGTATCCCACCTTCCTCCACCCCCAATACATCTACAGAGTCACAATCCACTTTGGTATTAAAGTCTTAGAATAAAGCAATTTGTTTACTTTCCTTCACTTTCATTATCCAAATTATGTACTACAGAACATTATCTTGTGTGGGTTTTTTTTTCATAAATCATAATAATATTTGAGCAGTTAGCAGTGCCTTCTCCAGGGTCAGACTGAAACCAAAATGGGGTAGATTCCTGGTTTTGCTACTTCCTAGCTGTGTGGTTTTGAGTTGTAGTTGGTTTTAATTTCTCATCTGTAAAACTGGAATAATAACCAACCTTTCTGATACAATTAAATGGGATAAAGCAGATTTAGCACTGTGTATGGACACCATGAGGTATGAAAAACTATAACTTGCTATTTGTATTAGCAGTGAATACTGATTGACAGCCACAGAAATAGTGTGTTCTCCATGGAGGTGCAACTGTACACTAATGGTTCTAGATCTGAACCCAACACAAGAATACACATACCATGATGCTGTCCCTTTCCAGTCCCTGTACTAGGAGGCGATGAATTCCTAAAGAAGGAAGTCATGCTTAGTTGAAAGTTGTGCTCACAGGCCTTACCTTGAAATTACCAGTTGGGCCACTGGCTTCCTGTAAAAGTCTGCTTCCTAAGAGGTATCTCTGAACATCTTTCTCCGTTCTCTACAGCAGTAACAACAAAGGTGGCCTCCTGGTCCACTTTTGGATTGTGTTTGTCATGCCACATGCCAAGGGCCATATCTTCTGTGAGGACTGTGTGGCCGCCATCCTGAAGGACTCCATCCAGACGAGCATCATAAACCGGACCTCTGTGGGAAGCTTGCAGGGTCTGGCTGTGGACATGGACTCCGTGGTCCTAAATGGTGATTGTTGGGTAATTCTCCTTTAAGCATTCCTTCCCACAGCACTCCTGATACTGTCAGTATTGCAGTCATTGTGGTAATGAAGTATTCTCTCGGCAGTCCCAGTGGAACAGGATTAGTTGAAGATATGGGAGCTATGTTGATAAAGGAAGTTACTAAAGGTTACATACATTGATTGGACAATTGAACTGGGGACAAGATATATATGAAGTTGAATTTATTAAAATGCACCCCTCCCTATACTTGATTTGGTTTATTCAAACTAAGGCTCCAAGGCACAAAGTCCTGCAGAAGGAAAATTTTTCTGAGCTTTGTCTTGTCTCTTTCCTCATCCAGACAAAACTGAACCTATGTTATGTAGTACTGACCAGTGTTCCAAACGGCCTGTCCCATAGCCTTGTCAAATGTAAATTCCATCATTTGTCTTGACAGTATAATGGTTTAATTTTTGCATAATACAAAATTTATGCAGCTTTTTCTTTTGATTTCAATTATATATATGCTAGGCAGATAGTAGGAAGCTGATACACATTTCTTAAATGAATGAAAATTCTGTACCACATATACTATTTCAGATATAATTAATATGACTAATTATTATTATATTTGTTGTTTCCTTTTTTACCTTTAAAAATGTTTAAAGCTTGTTACTATGGATGACTTCAAGCATATAAAAGGAAAGAGAATCGAAAAATGAACTCTAGTATACCCTTACCTTTACTCAGTTCCAAAAACCATCAGCTCACATCTGTCCTATTTGATCTGTAAATACCTAAACAACCTCCCTTCCCCTCACTGGATTATTTTAAAATAAACCCCAGATATGTTGGAGTGCTTTTAAAGGACTGAAAATATGTTTTTCTAGGCAAAATTCTTACAGGATGAAATGACAAGATTGATGGTCTTTTTTTTCTATGTGTGTTTGTTTTTCAATGCAGCTGGGCTTCGGTCAGATTACTCTTCGACCATAGGACCTGGTAAATTATGTCATGTGGCTTCTTCCCTCCCCCTACCCTATCCTCCACCCCCCACTGCCTCCTAATCGGTATCTTTTGGGCTGTAGTTTTCCTTTTCAATTGATAGTATTTGTTAGTGCTCTCTCAGTTACAAATGACAGAAATATACTCAAACTGGTTTATGCGTAAAAGAAATTTGATTGACTCATATGAATGGGTTCCCCTGGGGTGGGGATGGGGATGGGGGCTTCAGGTTCAGTTGGGCCACGTTCTAAGACAACATATCATCAGGACTCTGCATCTCTGCTTTCCTCTGTTGAGGCCCCATCAAGTGTATTTGTCCAATGTGGTGGCATAAATGGCCACTAGCAGATCCAGGCTTATAATTTATCACTTTAGTAACCATGGTGGGAAATAAACCCGCATAGATTTCCTGATAGTCCCTGCAGAAGTGCTGAGACTGGGTCTCATTGTCTCTGGTTGGCTGACATGCCCACTCCTGACCCAGCTTATCTGACTCTCTGATTGGCCAGTCTGAGTCACGTGCCCACCTCTGCACCTAGAGGTGAGGTTAACCCCGACCAAACCATATAGACATGATAAGGAGAGTTCCTCAAAGTGAAATCCAGGTGCTGTGATCAGGAGAGAGGGGAGTGGACTGGCAAAGGTAGCAGATGGCCTCCACGGGACCTCATGTGCTCTTTTCTACAAGATTTCTAGAAAAGTCATTCCTAAAACAACACAAGAGCGCTGTCTCCACAGACCAAAGGCCTGCTCTCAGTACTTGTATGCAGATCATCTGTCCGTTCGCTACCCTCTGGAGATTTCTGCAACCTCCCGGAGGCTCATGTGCCACTTCAAGCTGGTGGCCATCGTGGGCTACCTGATTCGCCTGTCGATAGAGTCCGTCCAGATCGAAGCCGACAACTGCGTCACCGACTCCCTGACCATTTACGACTCCCTCTTGCCCATCCGGAGCACCGTCCTGTACAGGTATCAGGCAGGCACTCTGGTTGTGGGTGAAAAGGCTTTTTGTACAATGTCTCTCTTTCGTAGCATCTGGGTTCCCCTTGAGTTTTTTGTGAGCCACTTCTGCATATACTCGGTCAATGACTGACCCGTGCTCTGTATTAGCCTCTCAGATACAACGTTTATTTTTCTTTTGTAGCATAAGAGAGTCGAAATCAGTATAGCAGGACCTTCCACCAATATTTCTGAAATCTAACATATTTTTAAAGAATTTTTACTTTGATTGCAATCATAGTGAAGTACACTTTCAATAAAGTGTGAGAAATATTCTGTGATGATTGTATAACATCAATAAAACAATTAAATGTTGTTCCTTATTTTAAAATAATACAATGTTCATTGTGAAAGTGAGGTCAGAGAAAACAATATCAACTATTTCACAAGCCCATTACCCAGAACAAATATCTGTTGTATTTTTGCATAATTTTTTTCACTTACACACACACACACACACACACACACATTAGTCAGAATTATTATTTGTGATTCACTGTGCTAAAAATGTACATGAATTATTTTACTTTGAATAGTATTAACCTACCTATGCAACAGTGTTTTCTGTATGTATTTATTTTTTTTTGTATTTCTGGGACGCATGTGTATGTCAAAAGTCCATACAGTATATAGAGATATGCAGGGAATGGTAAAATTGTCGCTGTCTCTCACTCCTCGATCATTGTTATTGAGTTTTTTTCATCCTTCCAGACATATTTAGTTATTTTCTTATTTAAGCCTCACCACAGTGCTGTGAGGAGTAAACCGTTATTACTCCCTCCATTCGAGGTAGGGGACGTGGCGTTTATGAAGACTTAGTACCTGACTGCCCACAGTTTTTCAGCCAGTTAAGTGATGGACCTGAGTTTTGAACCCGGTTTTGTTAGCCACGAAGTATCCCTTTCTACCTTGTTTGCCCTCAAGGAGGGTCCAGTGATGGCCATCCAGGGGGATTCTTTGACAGTTTTCTGTTCCTGTATCAGCTCCTTTCCATGTGTTGTGCCCTGTAGCCACTAGGGGAGGAAGACCTGGTTGGTGGAGTTTGATGAACAAGAACTGTGGCTGGCCCAGAAAATGTGTGGAATTAGTGGTGGATGTAGGCTCACTCCTCAGTAACCTGCTGTTCATGTATTGTTTTGTTATCTGGTTTCAGAATGTGTGAACCTACAAGAACATTAATGTCATTTGTTTCTACAAATAATCTCATGTTGGTGACATTTAAATCTCCTCAGATACGGAGGCTATCAGGAATCCGGGCATATTTTGAAGTCATTCCAGAACAAAGTAAGTTTTCCACCCCCTGAAGTCACCTGTAGAAATATTTGTTATGAGGCTCCTGTCTGATCTCTCCTGAGGCTGTGTTATAACACTAGTTGTGTAGGTCAGGGACCCTGACTCAGGGTCCAGTCAGAAGATAAATATCGTATCAGTTATTCTAGTAGAGAAAATTTAATTTAAAGAACTGGTAACTCAATATAAAGGTGTTCACTAGGTAACTCAAAAGGCAAAAAGAAAACTGAATTTTCTTTGTATCATGTAGAAAACAGCACATGTAAGAAGCAACTGGGGGAATAGAGCTTGGAGGAGGGATTTGTGAAATGAAACTCTGAGGAAGGGTTGCTGCTCAGCTGGTGCTGCTGTTTCTGAGTTCAGAGGCAGATATTCATGGACCTGGAACCCAGACCTCTAAGGAGGGGGTGCCAGACAGCGGAGGCTGGTATTTGCAGGAGATTCAATAAAGTGGACGGTGGAGAAACTACTAACAGGATTCAGCTCTGTACAGGAACGAAGTGTTACCTGCGGTGGTGAGGAAGTGTCCTTCGGGTGACCCTCCCAGGAATAAGAGGCGGGAAGTCTGGTTCTTCCTCCTCCAGCCTTCTAGTTTCCAGTTGGCACCACCATTGGCAGAGCCTGTCAGGGAGCCAGGTAGGAAAGAAAGGAAATGGTTTGCAGAGTCCCAGCCTGGCACTGCAGAACAGAGAAGGGTCTGATTGGAGCTGGTAGGCAAGTAACTAGCACACCAGTCTGTCTTTTGTGATGTCTCATTTATAGTCATACTTGTGAATGCCATCCCAGAAAGTGCCTGTGAAGCAAAAACCTTGAGGATTTAGTGGGTTTTACTAGGCAACAGTGAGCAAAAATGACCCCCCTCATTCTTCTCTTTTGGACTTGGGTTAATGAAGTAAAGCAAAGCAATAAGAAACTCTAGTCTCTTTGTGATACGTGTTGCAACTGATCGGATCTTACAGGTCATGTCTTGGTAACTTTTAAAAATAATTTATCTTTACTGTTGAAGTATTACAGATGTCCCCCCTCTTCTCCTTGGTAACTTCTTTATGAGCATCAGTAAAGCCAAAGGGATCAGAATGGGAGAGAAGGGTGAGAAGGGAAGAGGATTTGGCTTACGTAGATAGTGATAGCTGTAGTTTCATCTACATTTTAAGGCATCGGCTTATTTTGGTAGTTTTTCTGCTTCAAATTATTACAAAACCAAATGTAAAGTGGGTTTATTGGACTAGATATTTTAGATAGTATTGGGTTGAAAATTATCTCTAACTTCAAAGGTTAAGAATGTGATTATCTCAGAAACATTGTAATGGACTTTGTCTATTCACTCAATAAATAGTTATAACAACAAATAGTTATATCTTTATATGCCAGGAATGGCTGTAGGTGTTAGGGAAATAGCAGTAAACAAAATAGAGCTTAATCAGTACTCTCAAGAAGCTTACATTCTAGCAGAAGGGTTACCATATCAGCAAGAATAGACATTTAGATTGTCTTAAACAGAGCATGTTATGTAAACTGGGTATATTTCAACAACAAAGATGCACTTAGTTGAACAAAAGAAGTTCAGAAGCTTTTAAAGATTTATTTAAACTGTGAGTTTTTTAAAAATATATATATTTATTAATTTCAGAGATAAAGGGGAGAGAGAGAGAGAGAATTCAATGATGAGAGAGAATCATTGATTGGATGCATCCTGCACGCCCCCCACTGGGGATCAAGCCTGCAACCCTGGCATGTGCCCAGACCATGCCTGACTAGGAATTGAATTGTGACCTCCTGGTTCATAGGTCAATGCTCAACAACTAAACCATGCTGGCCAGGCTTAACTGTGTTTTTTATGAAGTAATAGTATCCTGTAAATGTGTAACCAAAATACATTATTTGAAAACAAATATATAATTTGAACAAACAGTTTAGCTATACCTATGTAGGGTACTATTTCTTTTTTTAATATATTTTATTGATTTTTTACAGAGAGGAGGGAGAGGGATAGAGAGTTAGAAATATCGATGAGAAAGAAACATCGATCAGCTGCCTCCTGCACACCCCCTACTGGGGATGTGCCCCTGCAACCAAGGTACATGCCCTTGACCGGAATCGAACCTGGAACCCTTCAGTCTGCAGGCTGATGCTCTATTCCAGGGGTCCTCAAACTACGGCCCGCAGGCCACATGCAAATACAAATATTGTATTTGTTCCCATTTTGTTTTTTTACTTCAAAATAAGATATGTGCAGTGTGCATAGGAATTTGTTCATAGTTTTTTTTAAACTATAGTCTGGCCCTCCAATGGTCTGAGGGACAGTGAACTGGCCCCCTGTTTAAAAAGTTTGAGGACCCCTGCTCTATTCACTCAGACAAACTGGTTAGGACAGGGTACTATTTCTTTTGTAAAAAATTAGTTTAAATTCATATGTGCATGCTTGTTGATTAAGAAACTGTGCATTTATAGTGAAAGAAATATATGTAGTGTCAGTCCCATAATGTCACAACTGCAAATCATTGTGTGTTACTGAATTTTTTTTTCCAGAGTGTGAAAACACAGTGTTGGTCAAAGAAATCACTGGCTTTGAAGGGAAAATTTCAAGTCCATATTACCCAAGCTACTATCCTCCGAAATGCAAGTGTACCTGGAAATTTCAGGTAGCCTAGTTTTACCACTACTTTAAAAAATACTGTTATCCTACTTTTAGTAGCAATTTATTTTTGAATTAAATTACCTCTATTATAAAATTTAATTACAAAAAAGTATTAGTTAGTTTTATAACACATAAATATTTTAGAAATTCTAGAACATGAAAGTTTTTGCAGTTTCAACACTCTGCCTACAAA